CATGTAGCCTAGGCTAGTCTCAGACTTGCTCTGTAGCCAAAGATGAATCACTGATCCTCCTGCCTCTACCTCTTGAGTAGGATTGTAAGCATGTGCCACTGTGTCCAGTTTTGCTGTACTGGGAATCAAATCCAGGGCATCATGCATACTAGGCAAGCAGTCCACTAACCGAGCGACAGACAGACAGACAGACAGACAGACAGACAGACAGACAGACAGACACACACACACACACACACACACACACACGCACGCGCGTGTGCGCGCGCGCGCGCATGATGAATTCTGAAAAGTGCTCACAGTTTTGCCTCATACAACCGACACCTCTCCTGCTCTGCAGCATCCTTTTCCAACCCCCTTGGGTCTCACCTTTCTTCTGTGCATCTGAATACACCCTGCTGGCAGAGGTGCTGCCCCCACTGACAGCACCGCCAAAGACAACTAAGATTTCACGCAGGGCTCACAGGCAGCTTAGACACTGCCCTTCTTCCTTTCCGTTTTCTTTCCATCCTGCTGATATGCAGAACCTCTGAGATACTTGGAGAAGCCAAATGCGTGGGCTGCACTCTGTATCGACCTACCAGAGAGGGAACCCCAAGGGTTGGCCCTGTGTGTGCTACCAGAGGATGCCCAGGCCATCCCAAGCCAAGCAGGCTTGTAGGAAGACCAACACAGACCAGAGACTTCCATATGAATCCTGAGGCAGTGCCCCAGCAGCTCCCTGCTTTGATTGGTCCTCTCAGGCAAACTTGGCCCATTGCAGATTTGTAGTATCTCCTCCCAAGGCTTGCTGCTCCGTCTTCTGTGAGTCCTCAGGCCACTGTGGTGTTCTGTGAACAAGTATACTGTTCTGTGTGGTGAGTGGGTATGTCCACTCCCTTCCCAAACCAGACTTGTTAACTCTTAGAACACCTTTGACCACAGCCTTCAGACATTTTTTCTTTCATGCATATCACGAATTTCTAAGGGTCTGAGAACATCAAGAGGTAGATTTATGGGGTTGGGGATTTAGCTCAGTGGTAGAGCACTTGTCCAGCAAGCGCAAGGCCCTGGGTTTGGTCCTCAGCTCCGAGAAAAAAAAAATTAAAGCTAGGCATGATGATGCATGCCTGTAGTCAAAACTAAGGCAAGAAAATCACTTGAGCCTTGGTGTTCAAGACCAGCCTAGGCAATATGATAAGATTCTGTCTTAAAGAAAAGTAAAGAGAGGGCATTTTAAAAAGCACATTTACTTTGGGTTTTAAATATCTAGATTTCTAGATGCAGTTGAGGTAAATCTTGGTGTTTTGGTTTTGGTTTTTCAAGGCAGGGTTTCTTTGTGTAGCTCTGACTATCCTGGAACTTGCTCTGTAGCCCAGGCTGGCCTTTAACTCACAGAGACCTGCCTGCCTCTGCCTCCCAAGTGCTCGGATTAAAGGTGTGCACCACTGCCTGAAATGTTACTTATGTTAAATATGTTACTAGAAAATAGAATTGTATTTATTTTGATAACATCTTGGATTATGTTCACAGATTTTATATTATGTGATGAAATGTCGTGGTTTTTTAGATGACTTTGACCCTCTGCAGCTGGGTTTTTAGTCCTGTTCAGAATGATTCATACTGTGGGCATCAGAAAGTTCTCCAGCCTCCACTCACACAAGTCCAGAGAAGCACTGTGGAAGTGACCATGGCAAGGCTCTGCTTAGGGCAGATGGCAAGTGTGAGAGCCTGGGAAAATGGCCCAGTTCACACCCCCAGGCTCCTCATCTGCAAAGTTCAAGCAACAACAGCATCTGCTCTGCTGAGCTTTTGGGGAGCACCAAGAGGCCTAGCAAGGTCAAGGCATTTGGTACTTCAGTTCCTGAAAATCACACAGACCTCAGTTGCTGATGATGGACAGTTGTTTGACTAGGAACTATCAAATGAACCCCTACAAGACACTCAAGCAAACAGGATCCAAATAACTGACCTTGAACTATTCTATCACAGATCATCCCCAAATCCATGGCAAGGTACAACTCTTGCATGCCTCTAATCCAAATTGGAGTATTCTTCCAGAAAATTTGGTCCAGAGGATGAATAACTGATTCTCCAAGGACCATCTCTCTCCAGCCCCTACTGACTGGTGGTATTAGGCACTTTTCCATCACTATAACAAAATACCTGGAATCATTAACTTATAAAGAAAAAACAGTCTTCAGCTCCAAAAAAGAAAAAGAAAGAAAAAGAAAAACGGTTTAACTCACAGCTCTAGAGGAGGTTCTTGTCCAAGATCATGGGAACTTGTGGTTTTGGGTCTTTGGGGAGAGGACACAGGATGGCAATGACAGAAGCCCAGAGAGAGCAAACTGCTCAGGGCCAGGGAGCAGGAGAGTAAGCTCCCTTCCAAGAGTCTTTACCCACCCCCTATACCACACCAGCAGCAGCAGCCTGTGGACTAAACCTTACACACGAGGCCCTTTGGGGGACATTCATCCAAGTCATCCCTGGGTCTGCGCTACTCTCGGTGGTCCTCAAAGACTAGCCCGATAGCCAGCAGACAACAGGAGGACAGGGAGCTGGAGGGGCTGCTGAGAGCATGCTAGCTCCAAGAAGCTATGCTGGCCTTCCTCGGTGGCTATCCACGGGAACGCCTGTAGTCCCAGGTGCGGGGGCAGTCAGTCTCTGGGAACCATCTCTGACACTGGATAGCAAGTCAGAAACCCCAACGGAACTCACTTCTGGTCCTTTGGGACCTGCTATTGTCAAGCTAGTTTCCCACCTGCCGAAGCCAATGTGAGACCTATGCTGAGAGCAGGTGCCGGAGGGTGGACACAGCTGTCCCCTCCTGACGGTGAGAATTCCAAAGCCACAGGATGCAGGCCGAATCAGTTAACAATGTATCAGCTGCGATAACCAGCCCATTGGTGGCCTGTTCCTCTTCAGAAAGCAGCTTGGGTTGCAGGCTCAGCCCTTCCGCCATCAGCCTCAGAGGCCTCAGTCTGTACTAGGGCGTCTCTGCTTAGTGACATTTACATGACCAGATCAGTGAGAAGCCGAATAAAGGAAGCCTTGGCTGCTGGCCCTCACACCTTCCTGCGTGGCCATGCTCCGAGATGGACCATCATCACCCTCCTCCTGGGCCTCCCCCGGATCATGCCAGGCAGAGTTTGTCTCTGGAGGTTTATCACCACCAGAAAAACTCAGAGCTTATTTCTGACACGTCAGAACTCTTGTTAGGACCAGACTGCACCCTGGCCAGCACTGCCGTTTCTGGTGTGCTTTAGCGACAGGCATAGAAGCCTTCCCGCTTCGCCAGACCAACAGAACCTACCGCAACTGCAGTATGTGGGAATCTGTGAAGCCACGGCTCTACTCACCCCACCCACCCCCAAGCAAGGCCGCCTGCTTTGAGCAAAGCCTCCACGAAGCAAGCAAGGCCATGCTTGAAAGGTTCTTCAAGGTATTGAAGATGGAGGGAGAGGGATGTGATGGACAGGAATGCCAGCCTCACTGCCACCCACTGTCCGGTCACTGTCCTGAGAAAGAGGAAGGTCTTCCTGTGATGGTCCTCACCGTGTCTGAGCAGGGCCCGTGGATGGACTTTCTCCCCAGCTTGCAAGACACTGCAGAGATCGTTCTGTGACAGAAGAGAAGAGCGGGCTCCCCAGCAGCTCCGGCGAGCGTCCAGGGTCTGTGCTCTTCACTTCCTGGGCCACAGCACAGCCTCTCCTGGGGTATGCGGTGCAGTGCAGGGCTGCTCCGTGCGGGCTGCTCCGTGCCTGCAGGAGCTTCAGGCACATTGGGTGGCATCGCAGCCTGTTGTTTCTGCACCGTGTGGATCCGGGGGACCGGCATGCCCTCGGATCTGGTGAGGTAGCCTCATCCCATGATTCTGGCCAGACTCAGTGGACAGACAGGCAACATGGGTACATGAAATGGGCTGGACACAAGGACACAAGGGCCACTGAGAGTGGTCAGGAAGATGTTAGCCTGAAACCAGAACACAGAGAACTGTGGAAAGAAGAGGTGACAAGGGTCCAAACAGGCAGGGCCTGGCCCAGTCACTTAGGAGCTGGGGACTGTCATGGTGGCTCTGTCTGCTATATTTTATGGGTAATCCAGGCTTTTTTTTTTTTATCAAGGTGAATATCTGCACAGAAATAAAAACCCCACTTAAGTATCAGATATCAGATGTTATAGGGTAAAAATTGCCAGGGTATGGGTCAGCCTCAGAGTCCTGGCCTAACACGTGTGAAACTCTGGGTCTCATAACCAGCACTAAATGAATGAATGAATGAATAAATAAATAAATGCAATAAATAGAAGTCCTCGGATGACTTTCAGATATACTATCTATCATACTTAGAACTGGAAAGGGACACTGGGCAATGACAAGGCACGTCAGGGACCCTCCCACCGCCCGGACAGCAGCAGCCCAAGTGCCCCAGTGGGCACCCAAGATGGTAGCAGCACTGGGCCACGCACACTGTGCTGTTCCTGTGCACACGTGGGTACTCCTGAGAATGTGTAATGCACCCATTAGGCCCACGGGAAGTTACTGACTAACAGAGTGGAACGCTAGGACTACAGCAACAATGACTGGAAACTTAGACACTTTTATTTCTGGAATTTTCCATTTAATATTTTCAGTCCACAGTTGACCTCTGGCAATTGAAATCACAGAAAATGAAACTGTAGCAAAGGGGACTACTGTACTTGAGTCCTGCTCCACTCTGTAAAGGTTCATGGGTCTTGGCCCAGTCACATGTGAGTGACTCTGAGAAGGATCCTAGGGTGGTGACATTCTCAGAAGTTAACAGGAACACCTCTGGTCCATCCGACCTGAATTATTAATTATGCACTGACTGCAAAAAACATTTAAAAATAACTGAAAACTAGAAAAAGAAATCCCTGAACATGTTTAATGTAAATAAGTCCTTGAGATGGTACTTTTTACAAAAAAAAAAAATCCTTTTTGTGGGGGAAAGACAATTAAAATTTTCAGGAAATGATGACAATTACTTTTTTTTTTTCAGTTTCAGTGAGAATGAGGAGGAATCCTGTCCCTCCTCCCTACATTGTATAAAATCCATCCAGCATAAAGAACTGTCCAGCAAGAGGTGGCTCTGCCTCAGGTGCCCCGAGGGAGCTGGCACTCTTTGCCTTGGGTGTGCAAAGCATCTTTCAGCTCCGAGGTGGCTCAGCCTAGGTGTGCAAAGTGTTCTCCAGCCACACAGTGCTTCTGTACTGCTCAAGCCATCTCTCTGCCCAGACCATTTTCTGATGACCTCCCTTCTCTCTCCCTTCTTTACTGCTCTCAAAAAGTAAGCTGGCATGGGTGATACGGCTCAAGGACATGTGTCACAGTGAGGACAAACTCCCATCCACAGCGTGGTAGCGTGCACGGTGTGTCCACAGGAAAGCACACAGAGATGAAAGCAGATGTAGATCTTCCGTCTTTCTTAAGGGATCTGTGCTGCAGTAGTGGGCAGCCCTGGTGTGGTGCTGAGGATTCTGGGAGGGAGGGAACCACACGCCTGCTAAGCTGTGGCAGTTCAGGCGGCAGGGTCTTCGGAAGGGAGCATGCTCCCCTCCCTCCTAGCCTGGCAAGCCACAGCAAGGCTGCAGGAGTCAACTTTCCACAGCAAGTGGAGTCCCCGGACCCATCTGCGGCCAACTCCCGTCCATCTCTCGGAAGACCCGGCACAGCAGGCTGCCGCTCTACGTGATGGTAAAGTGCTTCGATGGGCCGCTGTCTTGTTCTGGCTGGTTCCCACATCACCCGAGGCACCGTATGGACATTGCAGAAAGTGGAAAGTGGTCCTATTCGCCAGGAGTAAAACCAGGAAAAGCCAGTTTCTACTAAAAAGCCCATGTTGCTAAATGTCCTTTTCTCTTGGTTTCCATGTCTTCTAGGTACTAAATTTTAACCCACTTTTAGATAAGGGTACAGTTTGTGATGGGGGCTGGGGAGCATGGAGGCAGAAAAGAAGAGGTTCATAAATATCCCTCAGGGTTCCACCTGTGAGGGCAAAGGTCAAGCCCCATGCAGAACCCACACGTGCATCCAGATGAGCTGAAACCAGGAGCAGCTTCTGGAAGGGTTCACACATTAACGTAAGAGTCTGTTGTGAGTCCATGCGCCGAGTGACTGCTATAACACGCTGGCGTCTTCCATGGCCTCCATCCACCTGTGAAACGAGACAGCACTGGGTATCTATGGGACTGGACCAGAGCCCTGCTAGCCTAAAGCCCAGGACTGTGCCATGTTTGTGTCTGTTTCCCAGACACGTTTCCTGTACTTATAAAACAGCCTGGGATAGAGTAAAAGCTGACTGAACCAATGCCCGCCCATATAGAGGCATCATGAGAATCTAAGTCCCATGGTCTAGAACATGAAGGCCTGCAGTTATGCTAGAACCACCCCACCTACTCACCCCTCACCCCCACCCCTGCTCCGGGGGCCTCAGTAGAACAATGCAGGGCAACACCACATTTCTCTGTAAGACAGAAGACTAGTCATTGCTGGTACCTCTGAGCAGAATTGCTGTCCTCTGCTTTGAAGCTATAAAACAGGGTTTTCTTGTGGTAAAGGTGAAAGACAGGTCCTGCCTCATTGCTGCCGGCCTCCTTTTCTGGGGCAATAGTAAAACCCAGCAGAGGGATGCTCTCCATGGCCACTTTGTCCTGCAGGGGACAGAAGGAAAACCTGATGTTAAAGCCACACCCATAACCCTCCATCCCCCTGGGCTCAGGGAACATCATAAAAGGATGGGGAGAGAAAGAATGAAAGAGCTGAAGGATGGGGAGGAGCGCTGTGAAACACTCTTCCTGGACATGGCATGGCCGTATCACAAACTCCTGCAGCTATGGTCGGTCCCCTGGACAGGGGCAAGCCAACAAAGCAGCATCCAACAGGTGGCACTGATTGGATTCAATGTGTCTCACACACACACACACACACACACACACACACACACAAAGACACGAAGGTGGGAGGGAGCATGTTGAGGACTGCTGTGGAAAAATCTTTGTACACTGTAAATATGTATTACTCTCATTGGTTAATAAAGAGCTGACTGGCCTATAGCTGGACAGGAAGGGATGGGGCAGGAGAGCCAGACTAGGAAGAAACTGGGAAGAAGAAGGGCAAGCCAGATGCAGAGGAAGCAGGACGCATAGAAAATGAGGTAACAAGCCAGGAGCCACATGGTAGAACTTAGATAAGAAATATGGGTTAATTTAAGTAATAAGAGCTAGTTAATAACAAGCCTAAGCTATTGGCCGAGCATTTATAATTAACATTAAGTCTCTGTGTGGTTATTTGGGAGTGGGCTGGTGGGACAGAAAACTCCACTTGCAGAGGGGCATTGGGAGAGTGGGGAGTGGATAAGATTAAGATACATTGTATAAAAATGTGAAATTGTCAAATAATAAATAAAAGATTTAAAAAACCCACACTTGTATCAGCCCCTAATATTGATCCTTGCCTCCAGTGGAAGAGCGTCTCTGGGTTGGGCAGACTCTGATCACCCTTGCTTCCAGCCAGTACCAATCCAGGAAAGGAAAGGGACTTAACATGTTCTGACAACAAACTAGGGCTAGACATGTTCAATGCCATTATCTTTTAAATGCTCTACCACAGACAGAGAAAGCAATGCCCCAAGATCACACAATGAGCATGGAGGAAGAGCCAGGATTTGAACTCATAGACTTCCAGCATTCTTCCTACGGACTGGAGTAGTCAATGACTTAGTGTCCCAGAGTTTGTTCTGGTAATGCGTTTGGTACGCATTTCACCAAGCCTTTGTTTAAGGTGTCTCAGAAAAGCCCTCCAGTGTCTAGGCTATGATGCCATGAGCACTCATGAGATGGACCCAGAGAACACACAGGACACGTGGAAAACCCAAGGTTTTTATGTATGAAGAAAGTAGATTTTTATAGGGATGAAAAGTGCATGTGTATAAATAGTGAAGACACCATAATAAAACACACCCAAGGGAGTTAATCCAGCCCAGCAGAAGGCCAGCAGCACAAAGGCAAAGAGGGCAAACCATGCACCTGCTACCAAAGGTTAATGCCGGGAGAAAGCAACTGACAGACCTCTACCCTCTACTCAGACACCAAGTCTCACCAAGCTAGAATTCCCCTAACCTGACAGATTACAAAATGCCCTGCCACTGTCCTGGCTTGCTTTTTTTTTTTTTTTTTTCCCCCTTGAGACAAAGCCTTACACTGTACCCCAGGCTGGCCTGGGACTCATGGTAATTCCCCTGCCTTGGCTTTCTGAGTGCCAAGATCCATTGGTATGCACCATCATGCTTGGCTCAGTAACATGCCTTCTTAGATGTGGCTGTTTTGATCTGTGCTTCAACTTTCAGTTTGGAAAGATAAGCCCCTGTCCCCCGTGCAGAAAGTCCCACTGTAGACACATGAACAAAGGTCCCCTCTGTCTGCCTGCTCCTCTGCCGGTCTGGTGTCTGAGGATGCGACACACAGTGACCACCACAGCTGCAGGTCTGTCGACAGGGAGGCAGGTCACTCAAGACAGTCCAACCCTAGGCTGATGGGCATGCCCTCCACCAATGATCAGGACACATTTAAGTCTCGACTGTAAAGTGGATTTATGGAAGCCCCAAGGTGGTAGGACCTGGAGATGGAAACCACCTTATTGTCTGGCCCATTCAGCCTCTGCCAGCAAGATCACACCACCACAGCCCACATCTGTACACCCTGGGAGCAGGCTAGGCTTGTTTGTTTGTATTTTATTTTTGAGACAGGAGCTCATATTGTCCAAGCTGACTTTGAATTCACTATGTAGCTGAGGATGACCTTGAACTTCTGTACTTCCTGCCTCTCCTGCCTCTGTGCTAGAACTACAAGCTTGCACTGCCACATTTAGGCTATGTAGTGCTGGATACTAAACCCCAGGCTTCCTACACGCTGAGCAAGCATTCTAAAAACTGAGCTGCAGCCCCAGCTCTTGCTTGTATTTTAGATACTAAAACCAATATGTCCTATAAAAGTAGCAATGTGCGGCTGGGTGGTGGTGGCGCACGCCTTTAATCCCAGCACTCGGGAGGCAGAGGCAGGCGGATCTTTGTGAGTTCGAGGCCAGCCTGGGCTACCAAGTGAGTTCCAGGAAAGGGGCAAAGCTACACAGAGAAACCCTGTCTCAAAAAACCAAAACCAAAACCAAAAAAAAAAAAAAAAAAGTAGCAACGTGCTTTTACTTAGAAACCTTATTGGAACCCTCAGTTATTTTAGTAAAAGCAACGGACAGGCACAAAGGAGCAGTTTTCTCGGCGCTTCTGCATGCTGTCCCAAGTAACCAAAATGGAGAACAGAAGCAAGGTTTCTCTTGTGACCTTGTCCTGGCGGCTGAGCCTGTGACATTTAAAGTACTCTGTGAGTGCTCACAGCCACACTCCAACATAAAGACTTGATTACCACCAGAAGAGGGCCCAGTATCTAGAGCTCATGCCTGCAGATACACGGAGACCCTAGCTGGCTGTGCCTCCACCCTCACCCCTACTGTCACACTCATACTTAACACAGGCCTCCCGGAGAGAATAGCCGCAGAAAGGATGCTACCTCACTGGCCAGGTAGGTGTAGAGCACTTTGCCCTTGATGACTAGCCAGAGTTTCTTCCAGCGCCGCTTGCCACTCTTACAGCGGCTCAAGTAGCCGCTGATGGCCGAGCCCTCTCCCGACGCCGCCACCTAGTGGGGAGACAAAGCAGGTAAACTGACAAAAAGGCCGGGCAAACCACCCGTCCGGGAGTTTGAAAGCTGATCAGAACTCTGGGCTCCCATGGTTAGCAAAGCTACTCCAGGGTCTAAGAAGCGGATGCAAAAAGTCTAAAGCTAGCCGGGCGGTGGTGGCGCACTCCTTTAATCCCAGCACTCGGGAGGCAGAGCCAGGCGGATCTCTGTGAGTTCGAGGCCAGTCTGGGCTACCAAGTGAGTTCCAGGAAAGGCGCAAAGCTACACAGAGAAACCCTGTCTCGAAAAACCAAAAAAAAAAAAAAAAGTCTAAAGCTACCTCCAGGAGGGCTGCCCCTACTGGAATCCTCCACCCTCCCAGGGCACAAGATGGATTTGTCCACCTTCAGCTTAGACGGTCTTCACACTTAAGGGATCTTGTACCTATTACCTAACAGGTATGGGGGGCGGTCTCCTGCCTGGTGGAGTAGATGCAGCCCCACTGTGTCATCTGCTGCCAGTGTTTAGGTGACATCCTGCAGCACAGGCTCTGACAGTAGCTAACACTGGATGGGGCTCTGGCACACTGTGTGAGCACGAATGAGGTCCTGGGTTCCACCACCAGCACCAGAAAGCGAAGACAACAGGAGAGACCTCCAGGTTGGCTTGGAGGGCTGCCATCCAGAGTTTCCATCAGGCTCCAGCAGTAACTGTGGCTATCCCCAGGCAATTTCCTGACCTCCTGCGGGCCTCCATTTCCTTACTAGTAAAAAGCATGAGACATCCTGACAGGTACAGTGCCTGACTTACAGTGAGGGAATGGGAAAGCAACGTGGCCACGTTTAGGGATAGTCTCTTTACCACTAAGCTATGTCCTAGCCATATTTCCAAGATCTTTAGTTTGCAAATGGAGTAAGTTAATGGCTAAAACAGCATTCATTCACAAATATTCACTCCCTAACATAGTGGTTCTCAACCTGTGGGCTGTGACTCCTTTGCAGGTGGGCTGGGGGGGTTGCATATCAGATATCCTGCATATCAGATATTTATATTACGATTCATAACAGTAGCAAAATTACAGTTATGAAGTAGTAACACAATAATTGTATGGTTGGGGGTCACCACAACACGAGAAACTGTATTAAAGGGTCAGAGCATTACGAAGGTTGAGAACCGCTGTCCTAACACATCTTCATACCCACTGCTTGCTTGATGATGAGTATTAATGGGGACTTGAATGCAGCTGGCCATGCCTCTTGGGAAGGCTCTACTCATGGGTACACGCTGCTTGGGGTTCCTACCTGCAGGATAGACCTGTGTTTAGCCAGTTTTGAGGTTTCTTGCAGAATTTCATAGTCTCAGGGAGGCTCGAACCTGTGCTACCTGCTTCCCCCCGCCTGGGAACACAGGGCTCACAAATACTGACATGGGACAACTAACCATGACTTCATGGGGCAATTAACCATGACTGCAACTTACCAGTGACCTGAGCAGACCCTATGGGCACTAATTCTATGCTATGAGGCAGGAGAAAAAGAAAGACAAAAAGGAACAAAAAGATGCCTCTCAAGCACCTCTACAGCCCCAGAGGTCTTCTGAAGACAAGCGTATTCTTAGAGATGGCACCACCTAATCTCAATATTGGGTTCTTTCCTGGAAGGAGTTCTCCTTGTCCAGAAGAGTCTGGCCAGGCTGGGCACAGGAGGATCTGAGCCTGCCTCCAAAGGACAAGACCCTCCCAAGCCACTGTCTCCCCTGTGTGTCTTACCTCTGCCAAGGCTGAAGGGACTTTTTTCTGCTTCTTGAAAGTTGAAGGGCTAATGCTGTGGAAGACGGAGGAGAAGGTGCTGCCCGAGGAGAAGCGGGATGAGGACAGTGGGAAGCTCATGCTGACTGGACGCTCTGCAGAAGAAAGAAGCCAAGGGGAAGGGTCTCTGGAATGCTAGCTCAGGGCCCTCCGAGGCTCATGAGGGTAGGCGTGGGAGCCAATGGGACCAGGATGGCTGGCATGTTCTTTCCTGCTGATGCTCTGGGGAGTGGGGGCTGCTTTCCTGGATCCACTAGCAGGACTATGCTCCTCCTGGACACCTTGGTGTGGCCTCAGGAAGGCCCATGATACACCTGCTGTCCCTCCTTCCTGAAAATTCTGGGCACAGCTTGTTACTTAAGTACAAAGTCTCAAGGGTCAATTCAGCTTCTAAGGGGCTCTCTGTCCTTCTCTGACTCATGAGCCACTCCGAGCAGCCTCATAAACATGCCAAAAGATTCCAAAGACAGCACGCCCATGGAATACTCCCAGGAGTCCCACAGGAAGCTGGGCAGATGGCTCAGCAGTTAAGAGCACATACTGCTCTTGCAGTGGACCTGAGTTTGGTTCCCAGCACCCATATCAGGTGCCTCACAGATGCTTGTAACTCCAGCTCCAGGGTATCTGATGCCTTCTTCCGGCCTCTTTGGGCACCTGCATCCATGTGCACATATCCATATACAAACATATATAATTAAAAATAAATATATTTTTTTAAAGTTCCACAGAACATAGGCCTATGGAATACCCCGAAAAGGTCATCCATGGTGGACAGTTGTAGCAGCCCTGCCTTCTCTGTAGCTTCACAGGGATCACAGCAGCTATCAGGTTCCCATGGAGCCCAGGTTTTGAGCCTTGGTTTCCCCAGGGGCTGCCTTTATGCAGAACCTTCTGTCCCTTCTTCAGGAGAAAGGAGGTTCAGGATACCATAGAGGTGTCGTGAGAACTTAGGGGAGAAGCCATCAGGCCTGGAAGAAGTCAAGGACCTTGTTGAGTTACCTCTCATGGGGCCTGGGACAGGCCCATTCCTCAGCTTCAGCTCCCGGAAGCAGCCATCACAGACCTTGGCCATCCGGTTCTTGAGGCACTTCAGTGGGTACTTGTTTCGAGAACAGTTCCGGCACACAATCTGAGGCCAATGTTAGGATCACACATGGAAGCCGTGAGTCACTCTCTCAGCGTGTGCTCTCAACCTGGTAACCAACCCCTCGACTCCTCCTGGGAGCCCCAGGTTCCCAGCTGCTTTGTGCCATGTGGACCCCTGTTTTTCCAGGCTGGGGTGCAGAGTGTCTCTGAGCAGGTGCCCTCACCCATGAAGTGACACTCTCTCCTCCAACAACCATAACGGTGAGCTCCAGGGTTCTTAACATGGTGTGGTGGTGGCAGAGGAGGCCTGGGACTGGCCATGATTGGTGGAGCTCAGTGAAATGGACAGGAGGAAGCTCTACTTCTCAGGGCGGCCTTGAACTCTACTTGTTCTGGCTCCCCAAGCCCCACGGGCAGGGACATGTCCTCCCCTTCCCAAGCACACCCTCGCCCAGTCTGCCACTCACCTTGCCACAGGCGTGGCAGTGGTGGCGCCTCACGGTGAGCGAGAAGTCACATCCGCAGTTCATGCACATCATGGCATGTGTGACAGGTACCAGCGTGGGGAGCCTCTCCCCGAGGCTGATCCCCAGCCTCTCCCGGATCTGTGGCAGCCAGCAACCACAGTCAGGAGGGAGCCAGGGGGACAGCTGGGGAAGTGAGGCCCCCTTTCTCCCTAACTCCGAGTAAAGTCTCCTGCATGCCTTGGTCTGCGCACCGGACTGCAAGGCATGGTCGTGGGTTGAACTGTGGTGCCGTGCTCTGACTGGAGCATGGTACAGGGGCTAGGATGAGGGCATTGCCAAGGTCCCTGGAACAGGATGCACCTGTCGTCCTGCCGTAAGTAGCCTTCAGCAGGACCCACCCAAGGAACCCTGGGGTGGCCCTCACTCACCTCCACACTGTGGTGGAAGGCAGCCAGAGCCTGGGTCTTGTAGTCCTCCGGGAGGGCTCTGCTCAGACAGTAGTACCACTCGTCTCTCTCAGCGCAGGAGCTGTAGGCACAGGCTAGGTGAGCCACAGTGCCATGGCTCTGCCTGGCACCCTCTCTCTTGCTGTGAGTCCTTGCTAAGCAGCCTCTGGGCCTGAGTCTTGCCCAATGTCCGAACCCTTCTCTACCCAGAGAACTGAGTACCACCCAGGAGGAAGCTGGGTGGAAATTTTCAGTGCCCACTAGGTGTCGCTCTCACCCTGTACAGGAGCCTCCCACAGTCCTGGAAAAGCCCAGGCAGGGAGAAGGGACCACTTAGGCCTGCTGTTCAGAGGGCAAATGGGTACGGTAGACAGCCAGGGTCGCACTGCTTAAAGGGGACATATAACCCTCCTCCAGTGTATGGGGTCTGGGATATCAGGAAAGCACACCTATCAATGGCAGCTGGTACTCCGGGCCACAAGCCAGACAGACAGCGGTGCCCCAGTCAGGAGGAAACAGTCAGCGTGGTCTGGCATCACCCTGCCAGGGCTGGGCACACGGAAACTCTACCCTGAGCCCTGAAGATCTGATTGCATCAAGCAGAGACGAGAGGCCATGGAGCCACTCCGGGAAGCACCTCTTCCAGGAAGTCTCCCCACCCCCGTTGTGGGACCTCCTTCGCCCCTTCTATCCTACAGGGGTTCTCACCAGACCCCAAACTGACTGGCATCTTGGCCTTGCATCTCCCAACTCCTAGACTGGGAGAAGCAGATTTTGTTTATCCAACAACTAGCTCATGGTGTTTGGATTACAGCATCCTCCTACATACTGAGACCCTCCCCCAAAGACAGAATGGACAGTGATGGGCGTTCGTGCGTCACTTTCCTCTTGCCCTGTCGAGAGGAAGGTGCCAAGGCTGACAACACAGCCCACTGAACGCACGACACATCCGAGTCACCTGAGAATCTCATATTGAGCCAATCATCTGTAACTTTTTTTTTGATGAGATACTTTCACGGGGCATACAGTCCTCTGGGCATAGGAACCAGCATTTATGTTTGGTTTTGTGTGACTAAGGACTGAGTCTGTCAGGCAGGTGCTCGCCACTGAGCTAAGCCCCAACCCTCAGGATTTTTTTCTTTGGTTATTGTTCTCTCTCTCTCTCTCTCTCTCTCTCTCTCTCTCTCTCTCTCTCTCTCTCTCTCTCTCTGTCTCTCTCTGTGTGTGTGTGTGTGTGTATGCACACACAGCTATGAATGCACACATGTGCACACAAGTGTGGATGTCAGAGGTCAACATCATGCATCTTCCTCAATCATTCTTCACCTTATCTTTATTTTTTAAAAAGATTTTATTTTTATGTGTGTTTTGCCTGCATGTATCCAGAGGAAGCGTTCATATGCAGTGCCCACGGTGACCAGAAGAGTGCATTGTAACTGGAGTTACAGATGGTTGTGAGCTGCCATAGGGATTCTGGGAACTGAACCCAGGTCCTCCAGAAGAGCAGCATGTTCAGACAGGGTCTCTCACTAAACCTGAAGCTTGTTTCTAATACACTGGCCTGCCTGTGAGATTCTCCTATCCTTGCCCGCCCAGTGCAGGGATTACCAACATGCACCACCACATCTGGCTGGCTGGCACCACACACGGGTTCTGGTTCTGGCAATCAAACTCAGGGCCTCATGTTTGTGTGGCAATCACTTTGCCTACCGACCTGTCTCTGCTGCCCCTGCTTTTGGCTTTTTGAGACAGGGTCAGTATCTTCCCTCCTCAGCCTTGAGTGCTGGAATTATCACCACACTGAGTCCTTTGTGTTTCGAGAAAGGTCTTGCTATATTACTCAGGCAGGCCTTGAACTTGTGACCCTCATGCCTCTGTCCCTGCCTCAGAGCTAGGCATTTTCTTTAAGTTATATTCTACAGGGATCTGTAACCACATAGCACTCAAGGAACACTGCAAACAGGGAGAGAAAGAGCCCTTTCCAAAAGAATACCAGGATAAAAGTGATGCCATCCCCTGCCTCTGCTCCCCTGAACATCCCCACCCTTAACACTCTGCCCTGTTGCCCTCACTCCCCATACCTTGCAGACAGTGTCAGGCAGGACTCGGGAGTTTCGATCTTCAGAGCATAGGGCACTTTGTCCATCACGGGGCGGCTGACCTGCCAGGAAAACCACCAGCTTCTATTTCAGGGTTTATTGGGGGGGGGGCAGGGGGTTACCACAGTCAGCTTTGTCCACTGGAAGCGGGTGGGCAGGGTTCTGACTGGCAGGGATGCTTCCATTACCTGCCACTCTGTTGTCCCTCCTTAGAGTCTCCTTCTCAGATTCCATCCTCAGATGGCATCAAAATTAACTTTCCAAAACGGTCTCTATCTCAAGAATTCCCCAAAGTGCCCACACATCCTCATGTTTGAGACCAAGATAAACCATGCTAGTCCACACACTACATATACAACAGCTGAGAGGTGTCCAGGGAGAGAGGGAGGGAGCGAGGGAGGGAGGGAGGGAGGGAGGGAGGGAGGGAGAAACAGGCAGACAGAGACACAGAGAGATAGAGAGAGACAGACACAGAGATAGATAGAAAGAAAGAGATACACAGAGAAACAGAAAGAAAGAGATATACACACAGAGAGCTAGAGAGACAGAGGGAGCTTGAACGTGTGAGGAAGCAGATGTGCATGCCTAGAAAAGGAAGAAGAACCTGACCAAGCCGCCACATGGAAATCTTGACCACAATGCTAAGTGAAGCCAGCCAGCTCCAAGAAGACAAACGCTATTGGATTCTACCTAAATGAGGTCACTCAGTCAATCAAACCCATAGCAACAGAACAAACGGTGGGTACCAGGGGCTGGGAGCAGGGATGGGAGTCAGTGTTTAATGGACACAGTTTCTGTTTGGGAAGACAGGAAGGTTCTAGAGCTGGGTGGGCTCAGCACTGGTTCATGCCACTGAGCTCTGCCCTTACAATGTGGTGTATATATCTTACCACAATATAATATAATATAATATAATCCAAACCTGTTGGTCTGCTCCCTCCAAGTACTTTCTGCATTTATTGTTCTCCTGGTGGGGTGACCCTTCCCTCTCCATGCACCATCCAGCCTGAGAGTATATCATTGGTCTCTAGTTGTATCGGGGCAACCCTGTACTTAAACCTGCAGCACTGAATACTGTATCTTGGGGCCTTGGTCCTCAGTGGAGGGGAGCAAGGCTAACTCCATCTCTTCAGCATCTCCCTTGTGATGACCTTTCCACCACTGCTGACCCTACCCCCAGGGTACCTGGCTTTAGAGATCTACCTTCATGCTGGCCACTGGCAGTGAGCTCTTCAGACGGTACTTCCCATCCTTCTGGGGGTGTGTGTAGAGAAGCGTGTCGTTCATCTGCAGAGAAGGCACCCAGTCACACCAGTCCTAGCCCTGAAGACTGCAGCAAGTTCTAAACACAGCAGGTCCCTGGGCTCTGGGGTGAAGGCACCTGGTAGTCCTCAGCCAAGGAGCAAAGCCATACTGTGAACCCATCACCACAATTCTACTCTTATGGGGACACTCAAGAGGACTTGGCACACTTGCCAATGCTCTGGTACCAAGTGTTAGAGCAGCTTTATGTATATGTGGAACAAACCAAATGTCTTTGACAGGTGATGGATAACGAACCCATGGTTCAGTCAGGCTGTGGAATACCACACAGCAACCCAAAGGAGTAGGCTGCCAGACTCTAGCCACACGGCCAAATCACAGACATGCTGGGGTGGGGGGAACCAGACATGTGAGCACATGCCCACTGCCTTTATGTGAAGGTCCAACCCAAAGTGACAGCAAGCAGGCTAGTGGGTACCCAAGTCACCTGAGAGTGGGGAAGACTGATTGCCAGTATTAGCAGAGCTTTCTGGAAGTGTTGCAAATGTTCTCAATCCTGATCCGAGTGGTAATTATACAATGGTATATACTAGTCAACAAACCTCAACATGTAACTTAAGACGGGCGCATATAACTCTATAAACAAAATAGTTAAGAAAGGAAGTGGGGCTGGTGCAGTGACCCATGCCTTTAACAGCAGCACTCAGGAGACAGAGGCAGGTGAACCTCTGTGAACTGGAAGCCTGCCTGGTCTTCATGGCAAGTTCCAAACCAGCCAGGGCTACATAGTGAGACTATGCCTTTAAAAAAAAAAGAAATGAAGTGGGGTCCAGTGAGATGGCTCAGTTTAATCCCAGGAACCCATGACCTCCCTTGCTTCAGAGTTTAATTCAGGCAGGAAATGTACAAGGCCCTTGCTGCATCACCTAGCCAATCCTTGAGCACAGCTGCCTTGGCTGCCATGGCCTGCCTGTCTGCCACTGAGTCTTATCTATTCCCAAGACCCTCTACTTCAACTCATGATTCTTGGCTGTCAGTCCATGTGTTTCCCTCCCATTACATTCGAAGGCTGAGAGCAAGGTTGTACGTGATCTTTGTGTTCATGTCCCAGCACCGAGGTGTTGTTTGGGGAGTACTAGACTCATAGCACTCTAAGCTGTACCACCATCATGCTACAGAAGACTCTGGCAGTGTGGGGAGGCAGCAGAAGGTAGCCTCGCTGACAGTAACAAGAGTAGCCACGAGTGGCACGGGAGTGAGGAAACAGAGATACCTAGCAAACAGCAGGCCTACAGTTTGGCTCTTGGGGGTCCCCTAATGGCCTCTGTGTTGAAGGCGTGGTCCACAGGATGGCACTGTTGGGAGGAATGGAACCTTTAGGGGGCGGGGCCTAGTGAGAGGAAGTTAGGTCATTGGGGCATGACCTTGAGGAGACTGTGGGAACCCAGCCCCTTCCCCTTCCTGTCTTGCTTCCTAGCCATGAGGTGAGCGATGGCTCTGCCTTGTGGTGCTACTTGGCCACAGGCCCAAAGCTTCGGGGCCACCCCATTAAAGGCTGGTACCTCCAGGACTGGGAGGTAGATCCTGCCTCTCCTCTTTAAAGCCTGACTGTAAGGCGAAGTGTTTTGGGGTCCTAGATTAGGGCAAAGAGCTACTTGTAGCATGAAGGCCTGAGGCTGCCATCACTACCCCAAAGGTCTTGGATACTCCCTAATATTCAAAGTGGCTGTGTGTCCTCAGACAGGGCATATGTGCTCACCTGCACAGAGTGGTGGACCAGAGCCACAATCTGGGTGCCCTCTGGGCCTTGGCCACCAACCTGCTGGGAGACCTAGACAAGTTGGTCCCCACACCCCTCTGCTGTCTCACACACCATAGAGAGTGTCTGAGTGGCTAGTTACAGTACGGTAAGGAAGCCCTGGTTTGAGCTGTTTAAGGTAGGCTTGTGGGTTATTTGCCTCAGCATCAGCACCCACCGTTCAAATAACACATAAGCAATAGGGTTGCTGTTGTTGTTTGTTTTTCTTTTCTTTAAGGTTCAGTTATACGTCCTGAAGACTGTCCTAGCTCCTCTGTTGGCCCTAGAAAGTCAACAGTGGGGCCTGGCTTATAGCCGGTGCTTACCAGGAACAGGTGCCGGGGGGTGTCGGCTTTTTCCCCTCCCTCTCATCAGTGTTCCCTCCTTCAGGAACTCCTGCAGGGAGAGAAGCCAACCTCAGAAGTCAGGAAAGCCTGGGGAGGCTCTGTGTAGGAAGCAGTCACCAGAGCGGCCAGAGTACCCAGGAACAGCTTCTGGAGACTCTGGGCTCAGGAACCCAAGCTGAGCAGCCCAGCCTTCTAGAGTGTTCTCATGCAGCACTAGACTCAACACTGCTCTGGCCACCAAGTATGTGTCCTAACTATGTATCTCTCCCTGAACGGCATCACAAAGGGTGCATTCAGAACATGGCCTTTGAAGGTTTGCTGAACGTCTGGACCTGTGAATAGTAACTTCAGCCCCATCTTACTGAGGGATACAAACACAGACTTAGTAAGACTTGCAGGGCACAGAATCTCGGTCTGAACTGCATATGAGACTTCACAGCATCCTAGACTAGCACCATCCTGCCTATGTGGCTTGATCCCTCATTCCAACTGGCAATGATCACATGTCTGGCTATTTTCTGAGCTGAGTTGTATGTTTTCCATCTGGAAGCTAAAAAGTAAATCAATCAATCTCTCTCCCACCCCTCCCTTTCTGGGCATAGAACCCAGGACCTGGCATATACTAAGCATGTGCTCCACTCCCAAGTATCGTCCAGCCCTGTTTTGTTAAGAATGCTATTTTTATGATGCTTTCTTGGGGCTTGCCTTTGAGAGCTGTTCTGATCTCTGCTTTCCTGGAGACTTGGAACTAAAAACACTTGGTACATTTTTTTCCTCACTGGAGAGCTACCCAGGGCAGCTATGGTGAGCAGAACTAACCGGCACTGTTTCTTTAACTGCCCTGAGAGGGCATCACGCAAGGAGGGGTGCAGACATGCTCTAGGGTGGTGCACCATGTGCCCCACCCCTCCTAAACAGCACCTGCAGCCAGAGCCGTCTGGGGACAGCCCAGCTGAACAATGGGCTTATCAGAGTCAAGCTGGGCCTTGTCCTTGCCCAGGCAGCACTCACCCTTCCTGGTTGGAGGAGGTCCCCTTGGCCCCGCACACTATACTCGATGTGGACCAGCTTCTGCAGGTTTTCCTGTGGGCAGGAACAGGAGATGGTCACCCCTCCCCTCCCCCACCAGTCACTGTGTATCCTCTGTAAGGGGACATTGCCTCCACTTCAGAGGGAAAAAAAAAAAAAAAAAAAAAAAAACCAAAAAACAAAAAACAGAGCTCAGAAAAGCCCAGCCCAAATCCAAGCTCCTACAAATGGCAGGCAGCATGGGGTTCTCAGCCTGGGATTTCCCAGAAATGAAAGAGGAAGGGACTGCCGCAACTTTGGCCACATCAGGAGCAAGAGGAGGCTGGCAGATGGAAGTAACAAGAATGTAGGGCCAGCAGGAGAGGGCTCAGTGAGTGAAGGCACTTGCTGCCAAGCCTGATGAGCTGAGTTCAATCTCTCAGAACCCACTTGGTGGAGAAAGAGAACTGACTCCACAAGTTGTTTGTTCTCTGACCTTCAAATGTATGAACACAATAAATGTAAAGAGGTTATTTTTTTAAAGAGCAAGGCAGTTGAAATGTTCTTGAGTGTGTGAAGGTCAAGTGTGGGCTGGTAGCACATTTCAGGGTAATGAAGCTACGGACACTGTGGATAGGACCCAAGTGTCTGTCAGAACTGAGGGCACACAGGGGACAGAGTCCTGTGAGATGCCAGTGAGCAAGGTTTCAGCACTGGCGAGGCCAGAAGCCCACCAGCCCCTTAGGCAAAGACCACGTGCTCTGAGAAGAGGGATTCTTGCTGTGCCCTAATACCACACAGAAGCAGACTACCCCAGAGGATGGGCAAAGATCTGTCCAAGCACAGCCTCAGGCTCAAGGTACAATGGGGCTGCCACAGAGCACTAGGCAACCAGACATGCCCTCCCTCAGAGAGGGCACACATGGGGAGAGGGCCTTCCTGCCTGCAGAGATGTCTGGAAACCAGGAATGGAGCTGAATGTGAGAGGCAACTCAGCACTTAGAGCCCTGCAGACTCATGAGACCTGGAGGGAGATGAAGACCGACAAGAATGGAGGTCAGACTAGTACCCAGACCCATCATAACCTACGACTGGCCTGAATCAAATGGCCACTTTTCCCACTTCCCACCACACACAGCACAACCAAAACAAGATGCAAATGCTGTTCTCCACAGCCTCCACAGGGCTTATAGTCATAGTGCTGGGTATTCAACCAAAAGTCACAAGAACGCTATGGATGCAGGGCATAAAGAAACCAAGCTGGAACTGACATGGAAACTTCCTTCCAGATGGCTAGCTTTCGTAGGACTGTGCAGGCTGCTGGGGGAGAAAAGCTATCCAAAGCATTACTCATTTACAAACGCTGCGTGCTACAAACTGACCTTCCAGGCAAGACGTGTCCACTGGTGGAACGGTGGCATGAAGGTCATGGGAGCGACCAGCCACTCTGGGGTTGGATTTACACAGGAAGGAAGTCACGTCTGTCACTGTCACCTTAGTCAAAAGCCCATGGCTAGGGAGGTGATAGGCCCAAGAAGGAATCATGACTGCTGCTTTGATAAACAGACATGTTGTCAAAGTGCATTCTAAGCATTTATGTTTATACATATAGATGAGTGCTGCCCTCGGTCTTGATCAGAGCAGCTTCTCTCTGCAGTGGTCAGACTCCTAACTGTCGAAAGTGCTGAGTGGAAATGATGATTAAGTGTTCAGCCATAAGTTGAACATCTACATGAACCCCTAACTTCTAAGGCTCAGAGAATACTATGGAACGGGGGACAGAAAGAATATAAGGACAGGACAATGGAGAGGAGGGCTGTGAAATGCCATCTTCTAGACATGACATGGCCATTGCACTTATAACAGCTATTGGTCACCTGCCTAATATCAAGCCAACAAGATCAGTCAACATTGCAGCAGGAAGAACTAATTGGATTCGGTGAGTTACAATAATTTTAAAAAAAGGACACTAAAGGAGATATATACTGGGGATGCTTGGTAGGATTAGAAGGGAGTTTGGGGTAAATATAATCAAAATACATTTTTTATGTGTATGAAGTTATCAAATAAAAAATAAAAGATATGCTATTTTTTTTTAAATAATGAGAACACACATCCAAAACCAAAGTTGAGTTGGGGGGATGGGCTGGAAGATGGCTCAGCAAAGGACACTGGCTGCTCTTCCAGAGAACCTGGGTTCAATTCCCAGCACCCACATATCAGATCACAACCACCTGTAACTCTAGCTCCAGGGGATCCAATGCCCTCTTCTGGCCTCCACAGGCTCCAGGTACCCAAGCGGTACACAGACTTACACATTTTGCTGGCAAAACACCCATTACATAGAATAAGGTAACAATTAGAAAGTTTAAAAAAATACAAAACTGGGGAGACAAACCCAACCTATTTTTTTCAGAGAGAAAGCAGTCGACACACTCTAGGTGACAGGCATCAGACCTCGGAGCCAAGAACCAACGCAACTACTCTGCTGCGGGCCTGGTGCAAAGGTAGATGACATGCACAGGCAGATGGAGAGCTTCAGAAGGGCTGCTGACTGCACAGAGGAGTTCAGGGAAATTAAAAACAAAACACACAACCTGCAGTACCAGAAACGAAGACTCTCCACAGGCTTGGCTGTGAACAGAACAGAGCTGGGGAAAGGAGGAGCCAGAGGGCGTGAAGACAGATCACCAGAACACAGGGGGAAAGAAGAGGGGTGGGGAGCTGGCTCAGCACTTCAAGGGCTTGCCATGAACGCAAGTGTGATGATCTGAGTTCAATCCCCCATACCCATGTAAAAGGCTGGGTGTGGCACCTATAATCCCATCACTAGGGAAGTGGATACCGGCCAGCCAGTGCAGCTGAATCAGTGAGTTCCAGCGTCAGTGGGGTCATAGGCCCTAGCAGAGAACCTACCACTGTCATTCTGCTAAATGGACATCATATTAAACTGATGCCTAATGACTAATCGTGATCCCCATAGATTAGCACATCTCTCAACCTTCACCAAAGAAGCTGCTTTTAGCAACAGACACCCACAATTGGTCAGGGTGAAGAGAATGAGAGACTGCAGAATACCCAGCTCTAAGTGGGACGCCTATATCACACCTGAGCCTTGTAAGGCTCAGGGATCGATGTGGAAGAAGAGGAAAGAAGACTGTAAGAGCCAGAGGCAGTGGCTGACTACAAGAACACTGTTTTCCAGACTCAACAGGACAGCGGCGCAGATGAACTCACAGCAGTTGTGACAGCATGCACTTGCAAAAACCCAAGCCAGCATGGGGAGAAGGAAGGTGGGCACGAAGTCCAGCTCCTAACTAAGGAGCTATTGGCAACGGACAGCTGCTGGTGGAGGGAGAGTCCGTTTTCTTGAAGGATATGATCCCCAGTATGTCCACCATGTTCCAGTGGAAAGCTACACACTCGGGAGTTTATGTATGGGCAGCAATAATTGGACCTAATGGGGGGCACAAATTAGAGTGAGGAAGGGGGGTGTTGGCTCTGGGGGAAGGGGTTGAATATGATCAAAATACACTGTGTGAAATCCTCAAAGAACTCATTAAAAAAGAAAAAAGGAAGGGTGGAGAGCAGTTGAGGAAGAAACCAGTATTGACTTCCAGATGCATGTGCACATTTGTGACCATGCATATATACACAAAAAGTGAGGGAAAGGAAAGTGTGAGTGTGTATGTGTGTGTGTGTGTGTGTGTGTGTGTGTGTGTGTGTGTGTGTGTGTGTGTTAACTGGGGGAGGGGGCGTTGAGAATAGAGCATCCAGAAGACTTTTCTGAAATAAATGAATGACTAACAAAGCTCAGATCCAAGCAAGAAGCTCAGACTGATGGGCCCAGCACACCCCATTCCCCTTACGTCCGTCAAACTTCCCAAACCAAACAACTGTTTATTTGTTTATTTATTCATTTTGAGACCTACTCTTGCCATATAGCTCAGGATGGCCTTGAACTTGCAGCCATCCTCCTGTCTCAGTCTCTTGACTTCTGGGATTATATGCATGAGCTACTGTGCCCAGTTAACAGAAGATACCACAGGCATTCAAAATGGAAGGACGCACAACACAGAGGGCAAATATAAACATCATGACAGCATTCTTAGCAGACTGCGTGAGTCAGAAGACAATGGTGTGCCATCTTCAAGTGACCAAGAGAGAAAAAATTTAACCAAATCAGCTTTTAATACCCAGGAAAAATATTTTTCAAAAGTGAAGGTAGGCCGGGCAGTGGTGGCGCACGCCTTTAATCCCAGCACTCAGGAGGCAGAGGCAGGCGGGTCTTTTTGAGTTCGAGGCCAGCCTTGAGGTCTACAGAGCGAGATCCAGGAAAGGTGCAAAGCTACACTGAGAAACCCTGGCTCGAAAAACAAAAACAAAGTGAAGGTAAACTGCTCAATTAACTACATAGGAGACAGATGGTGGGAAGCAGGTTCTCTCTCGTGGAGTGAAGGATTTTGATAAGCAAGGTGAGGGGTCAGAACCATCCAGGTGGTAGTGCTTCAAGTAGACAGACTGATTAGGTATGGGAACATCCACCCATGTGTCTACATACAGGTCAGTAGACACATGTCTTTTTCTTCACTCTGTCAATCAGAAGCACCTAACAGAAATGAGAGCACATTAGCTCGGTGTCTAGGCGAGTGCTCTACCCCTGAGCTCTCTCTCATTCAGGGAAACTTGGAGAGACGGTCTACTATTTTTGTAGAGAAGAATGAATGCACCAACAACAAACTACCTACACACTCAAAGGGAGAAGCACAGGTCAGCTGAAAGAGCACCCTAGAACAATTCTTGCAATAGGAATTCTTCTGTTCTTAACATTGCGGGTTTAAAAATTGTTTTAATTTGGCTCTTCTCTATTTTGAGAAATAAATAAATCAGTGTGGGTTAAAATAAATGCCCACAAATTGGTACTGACATAAATGATTGGTCTGTTTTATGTATGAGGTTGGGCTGTACCCATCACTGTGAGGGAAGACACATCTACAAATAAGATTCTAGAACATTTAGGAGGCCATCAGCTTAAAGGAAGAGGGAAGGAGTCTCTCTGTAACACTTCAGTGTGGGCTGTGCACAGTGGTTTTCTTTCAGAGACTGTGGAAAAAGCTGGGACACATGATCTCAGTCAGGGGACCAGGGTCACATCATGCCAAGACAAGATGGAATCCCCCTTTTGTGATCTCCTTCCCCTGCACCCACAAATCGGAAAACCTCAGATTCCAACAGTGGGTGCCCTGCAGTATACCTGACCATGCTCCCCCAAGACCTCCACAGTCATCAAAGTCAGGGAACATCTGAGAAACTGGATCCAAGGGGAGCCTTCAAATATGTAACGACCAAAATGATGGATCCTGGAATAGGACATGGGGCCTGTGAGAACTATGGGTAATAATGCCATTTCCAACAGGCTCTTAACACAACCAGGGCTCCGCATTAATAGAAGACATTAACAACAGGGAAACAGTAGAATCCATGGGAACTCTTCATACTATCTTCTTAAAATTTTTTGTAATTTAAAAAATTGTTCTAAGAATAAATTATGCTCAGAAAGCAATATGGTGGGCTCCAGGGGTTGGCTGAGGGGTGGTGTTCAAGGGGACAGGGTTTCAGTTGGAAAGATGAGGACATTCTGGAGATGGGCTTCGTGACAGCTGCACAGTTTAAAGATGGGCTAAGGGCTGGGAGAAGTGGTGCATTCCTTTAATCCAAGCCCATGGGAGGCAGAGGCAGGCAGAGCTTTGTCTCAGAACAAAACACAGCAGCAGCAGTAACAACTGGCTAAGGTTATGAATGGACTTCTGCAAAGACAACATACAAATGGCCGACAGGTGTTTGCAAAAGAGCTCAACCTCACCCACTCATTATTGGGAAATATAAACCAGACCCATGAGGCACCACCTCCCTCAGAGGAGAGAGCAGTGTTGAAAAGGAGGGGAAAGACTCAAGTGTTGGTGAAGGTGTGGAGAACAAAGACCCCTGGGGGGATACCAGTGAGTTCAGCCTTATGGCAATCAAGTACGGAGTTTCCTCAAACCACTGAACCTACTGTATGATTCAACAACCCTGCTAGATACCTCTAAAGGAATCAGAATGGGCCTGCCACACAGACAGCCACACTCACTCGCGACAGCAGAGAACTGGAAACTTATATACACACAAGAGAGTATGATTCAGCCTGACACAGAACAAAATCCTGTCATTTAAACAAGAAAAGGAACTGGAGATCATTATGTTAAGTGAAATAAGCCAGTCACAGAGAGACAAACACCTCTGGCTCTCCAGTGGGGACTGTAGGGAAAGCTGTCCCATGGGAGATGAGTGCCGAGATGGTTATGAGACCAGGGGGTGGGGATGGGGAGGGTGTTGTTCACTGGGAACTGAGTCACAGTCGGACAGGGGCAGGCAGCTCTGCTGAGCTACTATATCATGTAGTGACTGTGGGGACACTGGTACCCTATGCTCAAGACACCTACAAGGATGGAACACTGCACCATGAGGAGGTAGGCATGTGCAGCCTGATTCAGATACTATACAGTGTCAATGGGAGCAACCTCGCATGGTAACCCTTAACAGGTGCTGCATTTATGAGTTCAAATCCAGCCATCTCATCCATGTCAGAGTGAACAGTGGCAGCCATGTGACCAAAGCCTCAATTCTGCACCAACACTGTCCCCTCCAGGAAGCCTCCCTGTCCTCATAGTCTGTAAATATTCCCAAACCCTGAAAGTGACTTACAAGCACCAACACTTTCCAAACAGGGTAGCGGTACCATCAGGCATATTAATGCCAATATCAATAAGACCACCCTGGATGCTAGATGGAAATGGATGGACAGGGCTGGTCCAGAGCCTGAAGGCTCCTCCCAGCAGGAGGTGATGAGGCCTGGTCTGATGGTGGCAGAGCTTCACCCTAGCCTTAGGAATACAGCCTCTGAGCTCAGTTCTGGGTTCTCTAACTGTGTCACAAGCAGAGCCCCTGGTCAGACCTGCAAGCATGGTTGTGTGTGGGGGCCTCACCTGAAGTGGCTTGCCTGTGCCTCCCACTACAGCATCCACCTCACCACGACTCAGGTGTGGCTGCCCCATCCCTCCTATGGGTACTGTGCATGGAACCTCACCTTGCCCTGGGGAGGGGAGGAGACACATTCCTGTCAACTTAGAGGCAGGACTTCCTGAAGCAGGATGTGGAGAACAGCACCAGCTTCTACAGTGACGGGGTCCTGGCCCCAAAGCACCTCTATCTTCCAGCTGCACTGAGGGAGCCTCACTGCATGCACAGGATGCCCAAGTGACAAAGAGTGAGGTATGGCATCCTCACAGTGGGAGATAAGAGGACTGTGATGGTTGTGATCCTCCTGGAAGCAGCCCCAGACACTGACCTTTGTTTTCAAGCCTGTTGCCTTCAGCTTCCACCTCCACTGCCCACCCTAGGCAGTGCTAGCCTCTGTTCCCAGATCTAGTCCTACCAGCTACACGGGGCAACAAAACACAGCTGATGCATCCTGGATCTCTCATCCCCAGCCTCTGCCCTGGCCCTTCCTTCCCTGTCTTCTCATCGACATGTACATGCTTGCAGGACCCTCCACAGCAGGTCCTATTATCAGAAGTGATGCTACCTCCTCCAACCCTAGCTTCAGGACACTCCATCCCCTGAACCTTAGCCCCTCCTCTCTCACTAACCATTAACTATGGTTATTTGCATCCATGGTCACTGTTCTGAAGAGCTCGAGGCCTGACTTTTAGGTAATGTCCCCAGATGCCATTTCCTATTCTGTGTGGGTTCTCTGTGCATCTGCTATAGCAGAGCTGCTGAGCACTGCCTTGGCACATACACCACTATCATCCCCTTCTATGCCAGTGAAAGACATGACTAATGGGTTGCTGAATTTTCCCATTAGGCTAAGACTCATCCTCTGGCTCATTTTCAACACACAGCTCTAGTGTGGTAACAGCCTGATGAATATGTGGATACAGATGACCATAAAAACTACTCAGGTAGAGCTGGGATGTGGAAGAGAGACTGACGTCCTCAGCAGAAACCAGAAAACATCCACCCAGTGTCCAACAAACAGGATACATGCCATCACAACCAGATGTAGACCCAGAGCTCAGGTACCCAGCAGACCAGTGATTCTGACTTTGGAGATATGAGGTGTTCCTAGGAGTGGAGCATGTCAGTTACTGAGACCGTGGGAAGTGGCACTGTTTATCAAGTCTGTGCAAGTCTATAACCCCTCACAGTTCAAATGGAACCAGAGGCCCAAAGAGGAACACACAGGCCATACAGCAAATGTTGGGCCAGAACCCAAGGCTCTTTGCAGAGCCCCAGGAGATGGACAGTGGGGTACCACAAGGCAGATGAGCAGGATGAAGCAGGTCCTGGAGTCTCTACCCCAGAGAAGAAGCCATGACTGGACTTACCCCTTGCTCCATGCTTTCATTGGCACGGTCTGTCACTTTAGAGATGAGAGTCAGAGCACCTGGGGAACAAAGGACAGGTGGCAGCTTTATGAGGCCTAGTCCAGCTTCCACAGCCCTTACCTCTTCTTTGGCTGTGTGCCTTCTCTGTCTTACCTGTGGCCGGCCACAAAGGTGGAGTGGCACCAGTTTTTCCCACCATAGCATCAGGTCATGAGTCTAACCCCAGCTCCTCCATGACTTCCTCAGTTTCCCTGGCTGCTGACTATATTACAGTGGGTCCACCCTGGTAGGGGCTGAGGCACCAGCCCAGGAGGGAGCATGGTGTGGCTAAGGGAGCCGTGAACATCTTAAAGCATCCTTCTTAGATCCCCCAACTCCATGACCTTCTCTTCCTCTGCTGGACAGATTCCTCAGGCTCTCACAGCTAAGGACAGTAGAGGTCATCTCTAGAGACTTGAGGAGTCTGGTAGATAACCCAGAGGTGTCATATGCAGAATACACCCAGCTGGGCCTGCTCCATGTCTACACGGGACACTGGTGTAGACTTGAGGGTTGGTGGATAGAGACAAATCAGGGGGTGTAGCTTCCTCCGGGGTCTCTCCAGACTTACTTTGAGTGTTGTCATACTCGGCTGAGTCCGGACACAGGTTGTTTAAATAGTCTGGAGGGAGAGAGAGAGAGAGACAATAGTCAGTTCTACCAGTAAGGCGGCCTCCTGTCTTCCACGGTGACCTCCCCTCTCTAGAGAGGGAAGAGACCCACAAGAATGGAGTGTCCATATTCTCACCACATCAGCCCACCCTGAGACGAGGACCCTCTTAGTGTCCTGGCCACCACTACCAGTCACTCACTCATTCAACCCCTATCTACTCATGATCTGCTATGTACCTGGTATTGCACACCTCTGGGATACAGACACAAGAAAGTACTCACTGTCTGTTGCAAGGTTATGAGCAATGACAAGCCACACAGCACTATATTACAGCGGGTCCACCCTGGTAGGGCCTAAGAGGGAGCACGGTGTGGTTAAGGGAGCCGTGAACATCTGAAAGCATCCTTCTTAGATCTCCCAACTCTGTGACTTCCTCTTCCTCTGCTGGACAGAGCCCTCAGGCTCCCACAGCTAAGGATGGTGGAGGTCATCTCTAGAGAATTGAGTCTGGTAGATATCCCAAAAGTGTCATATGCAGAATACACCCAGCTGAGCCAGCTCTGGGTCTATATTACAGGATGGGGGGTATTACCCCTTGATACGGCCCTACCCCTGCTACCCACCTTCTGCCTTGCTCCTTGAAGTCTGGCCATGCAGGCAGTCTTGCTACCCCTTGAGCATGTTCCTACCCTAGGGCCCCTCTGCTTGTAACCTCTTCTAGAGCTTCATATAGCTCATGTCCTTTCTTTGCTCACACCTTTGTTTTATATCACCTCCTTGGAGAGTCTTCTCTGCTACATCTAACACCTTAGCCGTACTTCCTAGTCCTGTAACCTACTTGGTTTTTCGGTAGCATTCTCAACACGGATGTTATGTATTCATACATTTTAATATGTATTTGCATACCTGGATATAAAATCATTGGTACTAGGGATGGACCCAGGCCCTGGCATGTGCTAAGCCCGTGGCTTGTCATAGTGTTCGCTCTCTCCATTTTGACTGTCATTTGCCACCATTGGCAGCATTCAGCACAGGTCTGGTACTCAGGCACGGCACAGTGGCTACTTCTTGAACTGAATGAGTAGATTCTTTAGTCCTCAACCCCAGCAAAATTTCCTTGTGACCCCTCAAACTGCACGTGCCCTATTCTGCAAGGGGAGTCAGAAAGACACTCATGGGAGCCTCAGAAATAGGATGGGGCCTGAGTCTATGTGGGAGGCTGTGGCCTGTGAGTGTGGAGCTCAGCACAGAGGCAGGGTGTCTGTAAGGCAGAGAGGGAAGGGAAGAGAGAGGGCCTAGTCCTGGGGCCCGTGAGGTCCCTGTGGTGGTCTGAGTAAGAATGCCCCCCATAGGCTCGTATGTTTGATGCCCAGTTACCGGAGAGTAGCATTATGTGAGAAGAATTAGAAAGATTAGGAGGTGTGGCCTTGCTGGGGTAGGTGTGGCCTTGTTGGAGGAAGTCTGCTGTTGAAGGTGGGCTTTGAGGGTTCAAAAGTCCACACCAGGGCAAGTGTCTCTCTGTCTTTCTATCTGTCTGTCTGTCTGCCTGCCTGCCTGCGGATTAGTATCTAGCTCTCAGCTACTTTATCACCACACCTGCCATGCTCGCCCCATGTTCCCTACCATGATGGTAATGGATTAACCTCTGAAACTATAAGCAAGTCCCCAATTAAATGCTTTTTCTTATAAGAGTTGTCTTGGTCATGGTGTCTCTTCACAGCAATAGAACAGTGTTAAAGACAGTTACCCATTGGTAAGCCAAAGAGAAGAGGCAGCCAGAGCGGCCAAACGGCAGGAGTGGGAGGGAGGCATGTTGTAGAGCTGAGAGGGACAAGAAGTAGCATGCAGCAAAGCCACAGGATGTCAGCAAGCCTGGGGTGGAAAATGTCCACTAGTCTCACCATGAGGGGGCCTAAGAAGGCAGTTTTTGCAAGACATCAGATGAATTAGAAAATACACAGTGAGAGTGTCACTAGGTTTCTGTGTTTGGGGACAGGAGGAGCCACTGAAGCAAGGTCTCCAAGGGGCTGGAGTGGGGTGGTGGTGGTGGCAGTGTATGTGAATCTGTGAGGTCCTGGGGATCTGGAGCTGCGCCATCTTCCTGCTTATATGCACGAAGTGAAGTCCTTATTCCCACGTTACCCCACCTCAGTCCACCGGGACCCTAATGGCTCACCAGTGAGCAACACTTGGTACTGGAAGAGGCGCTGGACTACACGCAGCATACGATGCTTCATGCTCTGGCCGCCCCCTTGTGAACTCTGCTGCTTTTGAGAAGGGAAGAGAGATGCCGTCAGAGACCCCACCACCCACAGACACACTTCATTCTGCTTCCCGACCAGGTGCAATCTCCCACATTGTCAGACCCAGGCTGTCTTCCTCCAGGAAGCCCTCTTGGGTCATCCCTCTGGGTTCAAGGTCACGCACAGTAACTCACTTCTCTGAGGCCCCATTCTGCTCCCAACATTAGTAACAGAGATAAGCTCCCCTTTGCCCACCCGGGAGCTAGGCTTCCAGTTTGTGACCAGTGCTGGCCATTTCCTTGGTTGCCCTCTGGCTGGGCCTCAGCGTGGTTGTTAGAATTGAGAGAATTAGCGCTAAGATTCTTCCCACGTCCTAGCCACCCTCTGCCCAGCAGGGGTCACTCTGTCCTGGGTTCCCCTCCTGTGGGGTGGCCCTTCTAACCCCCGACTAGGTCTCCCGATCTGCTGCCCAGTTCGGTCCTTCTGTGTGTCTCATTTCCCTCTCTTATGTCTTTCCATGTCCCCCTGCCTGGGCCCCACAACATCCTTAAAGCAGGGTCTCTGAAGACCTGGGCACCCACCTCAAATTCCCGGACGGTGGTGGCCAGCCGGGGTGAGAGCAGGCAACCCTCCGCGAGCAACCCCAGGTACCTGTCGAACTGCAGGATGTGTGCGGCATGGTGTTCAAACTCCTGCTCGCGGGCCAGGAAGATGTCGGCCACCTGCTGTTGGCCCTCCCCACTGCTAGAGAGAGGACAGTGAAAAGTCAGCCTTGGGATTAGCAGAGGCTGAGAGGAAGGGTTCTGGAAGCCGCTTGGCTTGGGGTACACAACTTACCACCTCTCGCTGGGCTCCCTGCTTTCCACCCGGAGACAGCATTTTGTATTTGTGGAGGTTTTTGTCTGCCCCCACCCCAGGTGGCATAAGTGGGGTATGGGACCCCAGGCTGCTCACCAATCCCCCAGCCTCTGCTCCAGGTTCTCCAGGATGCCCTGGTGAAGGTCGCAGATAGCTGGGAGCTCCCGCAGGCCCTGCCGCAGCTCCTCTTGGGCCAGTGGCTCTCTGCCCTCTTGCTCTATGTCCTCCAAGGCCCTCAGGACGGCTCCATGGAAATCCTGCAACCCCAGAGGCCTGTTACGCACTGGGCAGGAAGGGCCCTTGAGGCTCCAGAGCCCTGACCTGAACAGTGGCAGCTGCAAGAGCTGAGGCCAGTGTCATTGCCTCCACACTGTCACCTGTGGATCAGGAAGGCCAGCGTGTACCCACTTGCTACAGGGCTGTCTTCGCTATTGTTCACACAGAGCAGTGTCATGCTGTGGTGACTTGGCCAGTGCCAAGTCTTTGTCTACAAGACAGGGAATCGGTTGGTGATTCCTTCGCTAAGGAAACGCATAGTCCTTGCTTTCTAGTTCTCCAACTTTGAAGACGCTCAAGTGCTGCACTGTTTCAAAAAAAGAGCTTTAAAAAACCACAGCAGGGCCAACGAGATGGCTTAGTCAGTTAAGACACTTGCTGTCAAGTATGATGAGCTCAATCCCTGAGACCCACAGACTGGAAGAAAACTGACTCCCAGAAGTTGTTCTCTGACCTCCATATGTGTATAGTGACATGAGTGTATATAAATACACACACACACACACACACACACACACACACACACACACACACACTATTAAAAATGAAAGACACGGTAAAAATAAAAATCAAGAACCTTGATCAGAAATTCAAGGTTATCCTGGGCTATACAGAGTTTGAGGCCAGTCGAGGCTACATGCCCCCCTCTACACATGCACACTAAAAGGAAAAGTCACAGCAGGTGTCTGTGACCCCAAAGTTTAAGAGTACCAAAGTGGAAACTCACAGAGGCCGAGGAGGAGTCTGTGTAGCCCCCCATATGCAGTGCTCCGACTCCCCCTCTTGCCCGGTTAGTCCGAGGGAAGAAGGAGCCCTGACACCCACCTTTCTCATTTTCTTCCCTTAGCTCACAGCATCAGAAGAAAGAGGGGTCAGAGGAAACTCATAACTTTTCTCATTATTTTAGTATCAGCTGCTACTACCTCTTGCCATGCATGATTGGAGGACCGGGCTTTGTCACCTGTTCAAGTTTACTTTCAGTTACTGTGATAAAACCATGACCAAAACCAACTTGGGAAGGACAGGGTTTCTTTCAACTTAAAGCTCGCAGTCCATCATCCAGGAAGGTTAGGGCAGCAACCTGGAGGCAGGAACTGAAGCAGAGGCTATGGAGGAATGCTGCTTGCTGGCCTGCTCCTCATGGCTTTCTCAGACTGTTTTCTTATATACCCCCAACCACTTGCCCAGGGGTGGCACTTGGCACAATGGGCTGGGTCCTCCTTTACCAATCACTAATCAAGACAATGCCACACAGACTGGCCTATCGGCCAATCTGAAGGAGGCAGTTCCTCAACTGAGGTTCCGTCTTCCCAGGTGTGTCAAGTTGGCAACTGATGCTAACTCTGACATCACGGAGAACAAGGACAGGAACAAGCAGCATGTGTAGGATGGATGGCCTGCAGGGTTTCAGGCATCCACTGGAGGCTTGGAAGGCATCCCATGCAGACTGGGAGAATCCACGGTTATGACACTTAAGATGGTCTGTGTTTAGAGCATGGGCCCACACATGGTTTGCTGTCTGCTGTTTTTCTGGAGCCCAGAGGCACCTTCAGAGTGGGAGGAGCTTCATTCCCTTTGGGGAACCACACAGCTGCTATTTAACAGGAAAGGAGGATGAGGCTGGGGAAGCCAAGATCCGGATCCTGTTACCGTGAGGCTCACACCCAAAAGCCCCACATAGCGGGCACAAAGAGAGGTAGGACAAGGAGAGGATGACTGGAGAGCAAAGAGGGAAGGAGAGAAAGGAAAACAGCAAGGACAGACAGGCAGACAGTGGGATGCACAGCATCCTCCAGGGAGCTTCCGGGGTTAATAGTTCTGCAATCCTTTCCTGCACGGTAATTAATCCTCACTGACTGGCTCAGTCCCAATAGGCAGGGTAGCCACCTGCAGGACAAGATGGCTATCTACAGGACAGAACAACCATCAGCAAGACGATTACAATCCACTCACACCTGTTCTTAATGGAACCAGAGAGTGTCTGCTGCACTGGCCATCTCCTGTGGAAAGGTTTCTGCTGCCTCTATCGTTGGGCATCACCACAGGGTCTGGGTAGCCTCCCCAGGGAGGAAGACATGCTAGAAATCTCATCTTAAGCATTCAGCAAATATTCCGTATACATTCTGAGTGCTTGATCTGCAGCAAGCTCCAAGGACAGAGGAAAATGGAGTCATGTAATTCTGCCCACAAAGAGATTGTGATAAAAAAAAGTTAAGGAGACATGTATGACACGGACCAGAATGGGGACCTAGGGCAAGCCAGAAGTGGGGGAATCTGGCTTGGTAAAGGCTGCCAGGAAGGCAATACCTACATGGGACAATAAGGTGCTGATGGGAGAGCAGCCTGTGCAAAGGCCCTAGGCAGAAGAGTATCTGAGAGATTGAAGATGGTCTTAGTTATGAGATTTTATGAGGATGAGTATATGCATAGTGTGCCTGTGTGTGCATGTGTGTACATGAATATGCATGTCAGTGGCCCCTTGCAAGAAAGTACAGAAGGCTGGAATGGGATAATGCTTTAGGGATAGACCAGGGCCACTCTACTCCCTTAGTACATTGTGGAGTCCCGCTCTAACCTGCAGGACTCCCTAAGTCAAGGCCCAGAGAAGATGCTCAAGCCCATATCTACCCAGAGGCACTTCTGCATAACCTCAGATGACCCCCTGCATCTCTGGGCTCCAAAGTGGAGACACAAACACCTTCTTTCTGCTATGTTTTAGGGTTCTGTTTCCTGTCTTCCACCGGCACCTCCAGCACCCAACTAAGGAAGGTTCTTGGAGATAACAACAGGGACTTTCACTGAGCACGCATCCCAAGAGCTATGTGCCTCACGCTTCATACTCCACCCCGTGTGTGTGTGTGTGTGTGTGTGTGTGTGTGTGTGTGTGTGTGTGTACTAAGAAATGAGCCCAGGTCCTCATGCATGTAAGGAAAGCCTTTTACCATTCAGTCCCAGGCCCAGTTTCTTTATTAATGTTCATAGCAGCCCCATCTGGTTGTAATTTCCATTTTCTCCACAACAGACAGGGGCCTCAGGAGATGGAGTAATTTGCTCAAGGTTCTCATTCTTGAGTCTGTTTCCCTGATTCCAAAGTGCCAGTTCCTTCCATCACTGGAGATAGGCTTTGAGGTTTCAAAAGGCAACACCAGCCGGGCGGCGGTGGCGCACGCCTTTAATCCCAGCACTTGGGAGGCAGAGGCAGGCGGATCTCTGTGAGTTTGAGGCCAGGCTGGTCTACAGAGTTAGTTCTAGGACAACCAAGGCTACACAGAGAAACCCTGAAACCCTGTCTCAAAAACCAAGAAAGAAAAAAAAAAAAAAAAAGGCAACACCAGGCCCTGCAGCATGAGGATCAGGATGTGGTCTCTCAGCTACTTCTCCAGAACCATGCTCGTCTGACTGCCATCACGTGCCTTGCCATGATGATAATGAGCTAGCCCTCTAAAACTATAAGCATGACCCCAATTCCATGTTTTCTCTCATAAGTTGTCTTGGTCATGGTGTTCCCACACAGCAATAGAACAGTAATTAAGACACTAGTCAAACATGGATGTTCCTGTTGAGTCAACTGAACTCTGGAATCCCATGTGGCTAATGTCACACTGTCCTCAGCCATGTCCCACCTATGTAAACAGGGTCTAGGCAGGCTTTAAGCTGTGCTGGGAGCACAGGTTCACTTGGCCTAACCAATCACTGGAGGGCACTGGGCATCTTGAAGATAATCTTCTGTGGAGCAGGCTACCCTTCTAAGCTAGCCACCTAAAGGACTAACAGTGCAGAAAACCATGGGGAATTATGCTTTGTAGAGAGAGATGTGTGAGTACACAGGGAAAGGCTGTAAAGTGCACCATGCTATTGTTGCATTTTTTTTTAAAAAAAGTAAAAGGTCAAGAAAATGATTTAGAATGTGAATGATATAAAAGGGAATAAAATATTTAAAAAATAAATCTAACAAAAACAGCACAAAACTTGAACTCTGAAAACACAGAACATCATTGAAATAAATGAACCAGGACCTAAGAGCACATAGAGACAGCCCTCCCTCAGTTGTGACCACTTTTCTGATGTTGGCTCACTTTTCTGATGTTGACACAGGTTTGTCTCAGTCTCTGACAGCATCCCAGTTTCCATTTCACAGGCAGAAAATGCTGAGCCAGGCTTAAAACTCATTAGATTTGTGTCAGCTAAGACAATCTAGAAGGACAAAAATATTGGAGGAACATGCTTTTGTTGTTGCTGTTAAAACAGGATTTCTTGTCCAGTACTAGTAATCCTCCTGCTTCCGTCCCCTAAGTGCTGAGATTAGAGGTGTGCACCATCACACTCAGCTCAGAGACTCATGTTTGTTGGCTTCAAAGTTTACTATGAGTTGTAAAGACAGAAACACAGATCAATGGAGCATCGTGGAGGACCCAGAACTCCCTTTTACTTCTATCAAGTGGTTGTCAATAAGGGGGCAGATTCATCAGGTAAGCTCAGTCCTACAAGGTTCTGGGCAGCTGGATGGCCACATATGGAAAGTGAAGTCTGAGTTCTTTACACCACACGAAAGCCAGCTCCAAGGACTTCAGCTTACAAAGAGCACACAGCAGTGAGTGAACCTTCCTGACGAGGCTCCAAAACCACATGCAGAAAAAAACAAAAACAAAAACAAACAAACAAAAAACAGATAAAGTGTGACAACATCAAAATTAAACAAAACAAAACCTCTGTATTTCAAAGGACAGTGTCAAGAGAGTAAAGATGAGGCTGGGATGTAGCTCAGTGATAGAGCACTTGCCTAGCATGTGTTAAGATACTGGGTTCCACCTAATACAGATGGATGGATGGATGGATGGATGGATGGATGGATGGATGGAACCTCAAAAGGGAGTGAAGAAGACCCAAAGAATCAGAGAGAAAATGTTTGTAAATCACATGCTTGATAATAGGATTATTTACAGGTTACAAGAAAAAAAGGACTAACCACCCAGCAGAAAAC